TACATACAGACATGTTTGCGCTCTGAGGACCTCTTGTTTTAGTCATAAATGTAAGTTTCCCTCATTTAAATGGTTTCTAGATGTCAGGAAACCATGATTTCCTCATCTTAAAGTTTTGAATTCAAGCTCAGAAACACAACACATGTGCACACTAAACAAGAGTGGCAAAGCCTTGAGAGAGTTGGGCATTCAGAAATAACATTAAACCTCAAAGGAGAGATGCAAAGTTGTAAAGAAATCAATGAAGAAAAGTAGTGTCGGGAAGGGTATTCCCACTTTGAGGATCATGTAACTCTGAGTTCTGAGCAAGAGTTTTTCATCGTTATCTCTAATGTGTCAGTTTAGTTTTGTGATACCAGGTATTTTCATAACCCAACTGTTTTTGGAACTTGAAACAAATTGAACCGTGAATGAAAGCCAAAACAAACAAACAAAGTCCAATTATTATTTTTTTAGATTAAAAGGTTTCAAATTGAACAGCTCACAAGATGTACATTTTTATTAATTTTACAGATTGTAACGGTGTAATTTTTTTTGTATAGCTGCAGTTAGTTTGTACACTTTGTACATTTCTGAAATGTCAGGGGTTTTGTCTGAGCAGCAAGGGTTGGATGCCCTGTCTGTTTGGTATGCTCGTTGTGACGTAGCATTTTATTTTCCTTATAATCTCTGACATCTATATGCTCGTACGAACATGCCACGTCAGATTCAGCAAACACCCCTAATGTAAACATGATGAATGTCACATATTCAGGTGCTCCTGCATGAGGAGAGGAAATCAACATAATGACCCCCTCCCAACCCCAATAATACCATATAAGGCTAAGCTTCCTGTCCTACATACCAGGAAGTGTTGATTCATGAAAAGCACACCACAAAGTAAAAAGGACTTCATGAGTTTGGAGATTGAAGTCCTGATCTCATCGACCCAGAAAAGAAAATCTGTATATTTTTTAGCAGTGTCAGCGTTTAGCCTATCAATTTCACGATCTACATGATTATTAAAAAACCCCCATTATTATAATTTTATCAGTGTTTAATAATAAATCAGACAGAAAATCTGAGATTTCAGATAAAAATAAAAACAAAATAAAATTAGAAAAATATTTGGCAGCTTTGTAGAAATGAACACATTTGTAACATTTATTTAAAATCCACCTGTTTTTTAAAATTAATTACCAACTTCTTTACCATAATTTTAAAGAAACTTTTAATATTAAAAAAATTAATTCATACCCTTTGGGCTCATCATTCCTACTAACTCTTGTAGATACAAAATATCAGTTATGTAAAAAAAAAAACAAGTATAGAAAACAATTCCTCCCAGTCATTGTGAAAATAATTTGTTCTCCTATTTTAATACTTGTTTCCCCTCTACTCAGAGGTAAACAAACTGAATGTACATGCAAAGAAATAGATGCAGATTTCTTTGTAGCTATGTTAGGAAGTTCAAATTTAACAGGTGGGAAGTTGTGTGTGACAAGTAGTTTAATCCCCAGGGATTTTTTTTTTTTGATATGCGACATCATTGGTGATTTTAAATTATTCAACTTCAGATGGCTTGGTTAGGGTAAGATGTTAATTTTTTATCACAAAATGAAGGAAATCTGCATAATCACATTTAACTGAGTGCCTTGAAGCAGAACGCCCTCGTGACCTTTTACCCCCCATGTGGGACACAAGAGGATGGGTAACCGGGGATGAAATGTCAGGTGAGCAGACAAGGTGAGATATAACGACTTTATTTTCCTCTAAAGAAGAAAAAAAATGGTGTAAAAAGTGGACATCAGCTGAAAAACAGCCAAACAAAACACTGCTCAGTAAGCAGTCAGTGGCTGAATCAGTCGTTACTTTTGGGGGAACTGATTATTTAGAGTTAACACTCAAGTCGCTGAAAAAAGCTCAAACAGAACATTTCTGAACCGATGGTGCAGATGTTTTTAGGAAGCGTGTGACACCAAGGTGTGCAACTTTTGAGATGTGCATTAGCCTGTTGTCGTAGCGCTCACTTGGAAAACAGCTAAAATCAGAGAAAACCTGGACATGAAACCTCCCACAGGGGTTACTTTATTATGACTCCAGGGGTCCTATTGTTTTCCTACTCTTCTTTTTCTGTGATATTTGGTCAACTGTATCACAGAAACAGCTGCACCGATCAAAGTGAAATTTGGCAGGAATGTAGATGTGTCCGACCTACACTGAGCCAGCCTACGGTTTTATGACAGTCGGGGAGATGACGGCGCCTGCTGTAAAGCAGGAGGAAAGGAGATGAGAAAAAGTGAACATTATATCTCTAGTCTTATTTCTAGCGGCAAAACAGGTTGGAAGATGGTAATTTGATGTTATTTATTGTTTTTTAATGTCCTATGGACTCTGACATGTTTAATTTGAAACTGAGGTTTTAAAAATTAAGTAAAACTTGAAAAAAATCCATGAGATTGCTCTATATGTCCGTATGCCAGCAAAATGATGGAAAATCCTTGTAAATTATAGACAATCCATACAACTTGACATATATGGTCACATAAGATACCACTACACTGTATCTAGTTTTTAATAAAAATGCACCAGTTCTGAACAGGAAAAGCTGCTACATTTTGAACTGAGTGTGACAGCAGATATTTACATTTAAGCAAAGTTTTTTTTAAACCCAAACACTGAAGTTTTAGTTAAAAAGTTTAAGTAAACTTCATCTGATATACTATGTTTATTGTTAACACACAGACACACTGTATATATAGTATATTTATGATTCAGAGAAATTCTCACCTATATGCACACATAAACATGTATATGTCTGCAGTAGGTGATAATTTCTCTGAATCGTAAATATACTATACAGTATATAAAGTGTGTGTGTGTGTATACATACACACATACATACATACATACATACATACATACATACANACACGGGTCAGGTGATGGGGCACATGACCCTCTCTGAACAATAGAGCCAATCAAGCCTATTGTTAGGTGATGGCCCTCGTTTGCATGTGACTAACCTGTTTGTCCATGTGGAGGCAGTGCTTTTAAGCCTGAGTTCACCTGAAACTCATCAGACTGAAGAAGTCTCTTGGAGGAGAGATGAAACGTTTCACCAAAGAAGAACCCATCCAGAGGACCTACTTATTTTTATTTTCATTTTTTTTAAATAAAAGTAGAGTTTTTGTCTCCACTGTAGTGAATCAAAAAGTATCCATTTAATTTGTGGTAATTGTAGAAAATAATGTGTTGTTCAAAATCGGCATGTCTGAATAAAACAGGGATCCACTGGGACTTCATCTCAAAACCTTATTCCCAGTCTGCTCCATTCAGTCTCAGACAACAGTAGCCAAGCAGACAGTGTGTGCCCTTGGCCTGTAAAACACAACAGACCCTCTCAACAGTTCTGCTGTTCCAAGCTGATCTAACAGAGACTGCAAAACTAAACATCTATTTCTAAAARCACTTATTTTTCTTCCCTCTAATAATAATGAATTAACCTTAATGTACATCTCTTCCACAACCCTGGAGGTGTTACCTTTTATGTCAGACGTCAGAACGCAACCAGCTTTTGTTCAGGCTACAGCCAGAACACATCGTAAGACACACACCAACTCTCATTCTGTTTAAACCTAACTTGGATGCAATGATCAGAAAGTATAAAATACAAAACTGCATCCAACATTTAGTTAATCGTTTACACAATTTCCTTCAGCAACAAAAACATGAAATCTGTACAGTTTAATGATCTTTGGTGAGATGTTCAGGTTTTTTAATTTCTTTGTCAATAAAAACTAAACTACTGTGTGTGCTGAAAAAGATCAGAATACAACATTTCCTGTGATCATCTTCACTAGTGAATAAAAAACAAAAACAAAACAGGATTTATTCACGATTAAAGCCTTTATTTTACCTTTTTTACCTCAAGAGTTACTTTCACAAAATGAAATTGTCCGAGAGCTACTTTTTGCAACATTTCATTTTAAACGTAATCTTAAACCATTGCAATAAGCTTGTTTTGCACGAAAAATTGCCTTCRATTCACATGAAACCACCATGAATAACTCTGAATTTACATGAATGGGCTTTTTGTGTTTATCCATTCATATTATAGTGTATTTCACACTAATCAGTTAGGGTTTAACTGCAACAGATTYGTGCACAAATAATGTTGGGCGATGGGTCTCTGATTTTTTTTTCACATTGTGGACTSCAGCGGAAAGAAACCCCCTGTAGTGACAAATACCGCAGCGGGAGGGGTTTCCCAGGAGTTTGGCACAGTGTGTCTCAAGAGGCYATGAAAGGTGTGTGTGAAAACAAACGCCGAACAACCACTTAACCGCGTGCCATCTGCCGATCGACCATACTGAGCCCTAAACTGTTTGATTGACAACCAAGGAGAAGGGACATCTGCAGACTCATTGGAATTAAATGAAAATGTGTTTGGCCAGTGACAAATTAAATTTTGCTTCTCCTAATTTTTCATAAGCACTGAAGAGCTACTTTAAATGAGCTCACGAGCTACTGGTTGGAGACCTCTGCTTTATTTGATAACTGGTTTTATTTGTCAGAGCACAAAGCAAAATAAGCAAAAACGTAGCACAAATCAGGAATAAAAATTATTCAAATGCAAATGCTTCAATGATCATTTAGCTTTTTATTCAGATTACAAGACATTTTTGCATGGCTTCAAAAACAAAAAAAACTTGTCYCCATCATATTTCTGTGGTGATGTAATTCTAAGGAAAGGTTTTTTATTTAATGTTTTGCTCATTTCATTTTATGTATACATATATTTTTTTATTTTATAATGAAAGTTTTACTAAATATTTCTGAACCAAGCAAAAACAGTCTGAGAGAAGAAGCCTCTCATCTAAAGATCAGGGTTTGCAGATCTTATTTCCAGTTGGTGGATTGTTTTGAGCTCTTTGAAAATGAACAGGACAACACTGATTGTTAACTTTGTCACAAGCCACAGTCACATATTGTTGTTGTCCTGCAGGCGYGGTTGTAACTGAGCAATCTTTGGTGTTAACATTTAAATTGTACACCACCATTGTTGCAGTGCTGGTGCACAAGTTTTTCTGATCGATTTTGCCACGACCRTTGCAGATCTGAAAAACAAGATTTTCATTGGTCTTCTTTATGAAGGTCTGAACAGGTACGTTGCAGCGTTTCAAACTTGCCACATGCCTGAAAGRACAGATCAAAGCTCGTTTTTATTCAAAACATCAAATTATTTCAATAAAAGTTCAGTAAATTCAAAGAAAAGATCAGTTTAGATCAGAGGAGCTGAGATTAGTCTATGTTAAACTGTCATAAATTGACAGATTTATTAAACAGTGAATTGTGTTAAAGAGGAAGTTTATTTATTTAATAAAATCTATTTAATCCATGTATTTAAACGTACTACGTTTTACTTTAGTAAAATATTTCAGTCAAAAACATCCTTTGATGCAGAATAAACAAAGTACAGATAATTATACTAAAACAATCTTATGATGAATAAACTCTGAAACTCACTTTTCCCATTCAKCAATAGAGTTTGTGACAAAGGTGTCTGGAATGATGTGGTTGTGACGAAACTGGTTGCATGCATTGTTGTTCGGGTTACGCTGACAGGGACTGTTGTTATGTTGACCCAGGACCAGAACGAAGGCAGTGCAGCAGACGACAGTGATCAACAGAATAATCTTCATCTTGTCTAAAGTGACAGAAATAAAAATAATTACTGGTTTTAGAGCAGTTTCCACATTCACGAACAATAAATATTTTACTAAATGAAATGTTTCATTAGAAGCAGCAGCTGTTAGTTGTTTTTGTTTTGAAATTAATGTGAGTTTTTAAACATTTGTCTGGTTTTGGTTTAGTTGAGATGTGAAGCTTCACATGACCTCCTGACCTGAGATCTTTCTGATGGAGTTTACATGTTCTCTCTGTGCACCTGTGGGTTTTCTCTGAAGACTTCAGTTTCCTCCCACAAACCAACAACATGTCTGTAGCTGTGTTAAAGTGGGACTAGTTTGTCTCTGTGTGTCCCTGTGATGGACTGACAGTCTATCCTGCGTGTCCCCTCCTCTCACACAGAGACTGAAGGAGACACCAGCTCCCTGCAGTCCAGGAAGGAAATGTTGGTAAGGAAAATCTGCAGAAGAAAACTGAAGAAAACCCACATGTGCACAGAGAGAACAGAACATATGTAACATTATTTCCAGCATATAACAAGATAAAACTTCTGTGGGTCAGCTAAATGTAAAACAGATCAAACAGAKTCTGCTGTTTGATAAAACTCAGTGTTTGTTAGTTATTATTTCCTCACCTTTGCTGATGAGTCTTTTCTCTGTCAGAGATGGATGTGAGCTGAAGCTGAAGGTCTTCAGTAGAGGAYTGGATCTGATGCTTCTTTTTAAACAGTTTGACCAAAAACACCTGTCATCCTGACTCACAACAACCAACCAACAAAGAAACTCTTTTCTCAACTTTTGTGTCAAAACACTAAAAAAGAAGAAGAGGAAAAACACAAGTATCACAGGCAACTGTTTGATGCAARCCAAACCTTTTACTTCTGTAAATGAATCAGCTGTTTGTTTTATCTCTCTGTGAGAATTAAACTTGCTTTTGAGCAACTGTTGGTTTGGCTTTAGAAACCTGAGAAACAGATTCCTTACAGACACTGAAAGATGCTCTTTAAAGAAATAAATAATAATGCTGTGTTTATAATATAAGCAGAACTAATATAAGCAGTTTATAATATAAGATATATCCATCCATCCATCCATCCATCCATCCATCCATCCATCCATCCATCCATCCATCCATCCATCTACACAGAGGCTGTGGTGGAGTGGCTAGGGGAGTTGACCTGCAACCGGAAGGTCACCGGTTCGATCCCCGTCCAGTCGACTCAATCGTTGTGTCCTTGGGCAAGACACCTTACCTGCCTTGTGGTCAGAGGGTCCAGTGGTGCCTGTGTATGGCAGCCTTGCCTCTGTCAGTGTGCCYCAGGGCAGCTGTGGCTACARTGTAGTTTGCCATCATCAGTGTGTGAATGTGTGAATGTCTGTAGTGTGAAGCACTTTGAGCGTCCTGGATGGATAGAAAGGTGCTATACATGTATAAGTACAGTCCATTTATCATTTACATCTAGCCATCCATCTGAGTTGGSTCAGATGGATGGATGATGGATGGACAGACTTATTCTGAGTCGGGTCTCAGAGACACCAGCTTTAGTAGGAAGGCGCAGACCTCTCTCCCCAGTGTTAGGCCAGTCAAGAGCCATAGTCTTTCATGTCCTTGGTCTTCACTGGGTTCTCCAGTCAGTCATGTGCAGCACCTCCCTGGGGATGTGATCAAGAGACATCCTTAGCAGCTCTACTTTGAGTTTCTCCAGGATACCTGAACTTCTCACCCTTTCCCTAATAGAGTCCAKCAGAAAACTCATTTTGACCACCTGTATCTGGGAATCTGGGATCTTGTTCTTTCTGTCACTACCCAAAGGATAGGAGGTGGACTCCACCAGGCTGCCTGTTGTCCCTGTTTCTGTTCAGTACTTCTATTGACAGAATTTTTTGGTGCAGCCAGGGGATTGAGTGAGTCCGGTTCGGTGGCCTCAGGATTCAATCTCTGCTGTTTGCAGATGATGTGGTTCTGTTAGCGTAATCGTGCTGTGATCTTCAGCTCTCACTGGAGTGTGAAGCAGCTGGGATGAGGATCAGCACCTCCATGGTTCTCAGTCAGAAAAGGGCAGACTGCTCTCTCTGGGTTGCTGGTGAGGTTCTGCTTCAAGTGGAGGAGTCCAAGTAACCTGGGATTTTGTTCAAGAGTGAGGGAAGAATGGAGCGTGTGATTGAAAGAAGGATCAATGCAGCCTCCAAATTTTTGTAGACTCTGTACTGGTCTGTCGTGATGAAGAGAGAGCTGAGCTGTAAAGTGAAGCGCTCTGTTTACTGATAACATCTCCCACATACTCAGGCGWACTGTGTGCGGTCCGTGAGCTGCGTGGACTCCGTGCATATTGTCTGCAGATGTTTGAGACTTCATACTTGAGCGTACTGACCACCTGACAAATTCTTTAATTTTTCGCAATTTCAGTCATGATGTCGAGGACGAGGAGGAAGAGAAAGTTTGTCTTTTAACTTTAAAACAACAAAAGAAAAAAGGAATGAACTACCATACCCAGGATCTGAGCTATTTCCTCCCACGAATTTGTTGAATTTGTTGAAAGTCCTTATATTCCTTCATTGACATATCRTACAAATTTCTAATCTCCTCCATGAGACACTCTTCAAAATTTGACTCCATTTCGTCCACAAATGACACAGATTCTCAACTCTCTCAGCTTGATGTCGCATCCAAAACAGTACTCGCCATGCAGTTTAATGTGCGACACCGCGGACGGGGACGTAAAAACTTGATCTCTGCGCGGACCAGTCCGAAGGACGTCCGCTTCGAGTCCTCATTGAGTCTGCGTGGATATTCACGGAGCAAAGTACACCCGAGTATGTGGGGGCCTTTAGTCTATGTTCTTACCCTCACCTGTGGTCACAAACCATGGGTAGTGACTCAAAGAATCTTAGCTCAGCCTGAACAAATTAATTAAAATTTTCAGAGATAAAACTTTAAATTTGGTCAAATTTGACTGGAACACAACATAAGGGTTAAAAACCTTTAGAGTAACATGTTCAGTTTGTCTTGTTCTTCCTACTAAATGGACTCTTGGTATCCCCAGTTTAATTGTTAATGTTCTGAACAACAGTTTGTGTTTGCTCAACGTGGACAAATCATTTCTAATGGCTAAAACATATCATAAGTTTTGCTGAAAATGAATTTGATTGTTTAAAGCAGGATCTGAAACACCTCTTGGTGATGTTAAACAACTCAACACTGTTTGTGAACGTGGTTTGAATTTTCAAATTTCCGTTGTTTCATGAGAAAAATACAAAACTATTTTATCTCAAAGTGAACATCTCACTTCCTTCTGAAGAGAATGAGTGTCAAACCATCAGTTCTGCTTTAGATGCTTGTGAAATAAACTCATGGACAATGACAGAGGCTCTTCAGAGTAATCTATAACCACTGTACCACTGTGTTACTGTAATGTCCAGCACTGAACCACATCAAACCTAAATGTGTTTAATATGGCGTTTGAACCATGACAGTACAATCGTGAGAGAAAACGAGAACTCGTGCGCGCAGCCAGAACTCACGCAAGAGAAAACAATATCGCACGGGAGCAAATTTAAATCCTGTGCGTGCATTTAAATATCCACGCGAGAGGGAAYTGAGTTCCGCGAGCAGCGCGCACATTGTCTCCTCTCGTGCGCAGAATCTCTCTGCTCGCGTGTGCGCGCAAACTGTTACCCTCGCACAAGCTTTTTTCCCCCCTCGTGCGAGCTTTCTCTGCTGCTTGCTAACGAGTTCTTTTTGGCAGAAGGTGGGCGGATGCAGTTGGCGTTCTGTTACTACACATGATTGGTTACAGTCCCTGTCTTCTGTGATTGGCCGGACAGCATTTTTTGTAAAGAACATCTCGTTTTTTTCTCTCATGAGAGTTCTGGCTGCGCGTGCGAGATCTCGTTTTTTCTCGCGAGAGTTCTGGCATCATTTTGCCACCATAGTTTAATGGTTTCCGTGCCCAACCATTCATTTTCTTTATCTGCTCTCTGTGCAGGCTCACAGTGGAGCTGTTGTCTCCAGCAGTAGATGTGAGAGAAGTGAGGTAAACTCTGAACAAATCACATAACTTATTTGTTACATAGAAACAGCTTTTAACACTTTTGTAGTTTTTACTGTTTTTATCAGTTAAATGCATCAGAAATGACTAAGCTTTGATTTGTCTTGTATGTATTTAAGGCTTGTGAGATTCATTACCCCCAATTTATACTTGCGTTCCGGCTCCGCTCCGCTCCGGTCCAACCTCCGCAGCAAATACGCACCCATTACAATCAGTGAGAGTGTTTACACTGGCTGCGCATGGTGGCAGTGACCCCTGAACCTGAAGGACTGCAGACTCGAGACTCGCCAACTCAGGAACAGGACTGCAGTCTGTTGAACTCAGTCTGTGACACCACTGTTATGTCAGCACCTGTGTCGATTTTAAATTTGACAACACAGCCA